TATCTTTTTCAAAAATGTATTGCTGGTAATAATTTTTTCTTCAAAAACTTATTGCTGGTAATAGATTTTTACAAAGTATTTCGGGTATTAAAACCTATTTATACACTTTCATAGTGTTTTGACCATAGTTCGAGGATTAACTATTTGCCCATAGCTGGGACCCTAACAGGTGCTACCACCTCGGGTCAGGGTGGACCTGGGAACACCAGCAATTAAGAGGTGGTTCCACGCTCCTCAAAACCTCCTGATCAGAGGCCTTACTGTTGGACGTAGTTTATCGTCTTACCCAGGATGCAGATGTAGTTTATCGTCATACCCAGGACGGAGTTTGGAAAGAAACGTTTTTATAACATTTATTGACCAATTCAACCATATATGATAGTTCTCCCCGCATCTCTTCAGGGCATAAGCGATCATGGTTCTACTCAACTTTCTATCACATATGGCTCTCAGCAGTTAGTAAGAGCTACCACCCCCAGTTACGCACATGCACACACACACACACACACACACACACACACACACACACACACACACACACACACACACACACACACACACACACACACATACATACATTTCTGTATTATTATAAAGAAATACGATATCTAGAGTTACTCGTTGAAAAATAATTCGACAGAGGAAAAAGATCTGGAATTTCAGTCATAAAACAAAAACAAAAAAAACCTATGCATGTTTAACGAAATATAGAAATATAATTTCTATTTTAATCTAATTTTTATTTATTTTTTGGCTAAAGAAATAAAGATGTCTGAATCAAAAAATTACCCCAGGTTCCTCCCACTGTCCTTGCAGGATAGCACCACCTATCCTATCTTTTACTGCTTAATTTATCGCTATATACCAGTTGACCTCCAAGAATCTAATTGTTGGCTTCAATAAACATTATAAAGTGTATAAACTAATTCCTTTTCTGCCGCAAAAGCACTAAGATGACGCTAGAAGTCGAATTTAATCTTATATCATTTGTACCTAATAACTCTCTCGGTTTCGCTAGAAATGCTTTATTTGGCGCAAAGTGGCACTATGTGCTCTTTGATAACCTCTGGTTACCATAAATGACTTTGAATAGCCACCCTCCAACCTTTCTCTCTGAGGCGGGTGTGGCGAGTCACTATCGCTACTTCTATGGAAAGTGCTCGGACGAACTACATACCTTGGTTCCGCCAATTTTAACATTCACGGCTAGGACCCGCCATGCCATTTACATAGTAGCAAATGACCCCACATCCCCTCCGTATTACATCAGCGAGAAGTAAATTCCACTCAAACAGCTTCTTCCCGCAAACCACTGCCCTGTAGAAGAGATTCCCAAGAGAATGATTCCGGATCACTACAATCTTAACCTGTTCAAATCTAGAGTTAACCGTTATATAATTTACCCCTTAATGTAACCCTCTAGATCAAGTGGCTCCCGAGCCTTGCACAGAGTGAACATTACTGTAAAAAAAAATACAACAGAAATGTTATCTTCCCATCCTATCTATGTAAGCTACACCGTAACGTAACCCTCTAACTCGAGTGGCTCCCAGGCCTTGTACTGAGTGAACCTTAGTGTAAAAAAATAAAAATAAAAACTTCTGAAAAAAAAATCTTCGAGTTCTCCATCAAATGCTGTTATTTAAGATTTCCAGTTCAGCTACGAAAAATCAAAAACAAAACAAACAACAAAAAAAAAAAACAAAAAAAAAGTATCTAGATCTTTACGACTGACCGTAAAATAAATTGCAAAACATGGCAAATATATAAGGATTTTCTACTTGTTATGTATTCCATCACATTTTTCTTTGTTTTTAGATAGAATTTCACTAATATATCATTTTTATCTGCTTTACAGCAAGACGTCTCCATTTATAGCGATCACTTTTCTCAATTGTCCAAAGCGGCCGTATTTCTTGAGAATATTCAGAATGACGGAAAAGATGAAGATCTCCAGTCCGCTTTCGAAGACCTCTTTATAGAGAACCTACGACAGATGTGCGAACTTCATCTTGCTCTCGTCAAACAAAGAACCCAACTTCCAGTTCCAGCCTCACGCTGTATTATCCCTGCAGAATTACGCAACCTAAAAAGTTCTTTCGCTTATTACAAAACAAACTACCAAATTTTGTATCATTATAAATTACTTTTGAACAACCATCTGTCTGAATACCGAAAGATCAAAAACAAGTCACCAATATCCCATCTTGTGTAATAATTGTCTTAATTCTTAGAATTTAGCGTAAAAAGGAATATTTTAGGGTAAAATATCAGAGTATATGACCCCCCTAACTCCGTCGTCTCCATATCGGTTCTTACCGATATGCTAAAAGTTAATTTCAGGTTTTGCAAAGGGATTTTGAGTTTGTTGGAAACCTGAAAGCATACATGTAGAATTATATTAATTTTTCCATAAAAAAAAAGAAAGAATACCACCTGTCATACTATAAAGCTGTATATAATTAAAAACGACCATTAATTTGTCATTTATTTTCGATACTGAGATCATTATTCGTAACAGTTATACGAACATTTTATATTATTCTGTGATAACGCTTTACAGTTTTATTACGCATTTATAGTTTTTTAAAATGATTAACGTTAGTCAAAAGTAATGGAACATTATGCAAATTTTCGGTTCATTCCTTTGCAAGTTTACACTGAACATCAAATAACATTTGACATTAAAAGAAACACAGAAATCTGAAGATGTAGCTAAACTAAAAAAAAAAAAAAATTAACCATCCTGCAAAAAGGACGATCTACAAAAAATTACTTATACTGTAATATTTTCTTCAGTTTTCCTTGCTGTAATATTTTTGTTGTTTTACATAATTTATATCCAATATGCGTTTTCAATGGATATTTTTATTTCATCAAAACATGAAGATATATGAATATTTTTTTAATAAAATCTACTCAGGTTACGAAATATCTATATCAATTTAATGCATATTATTTTGCTCATCTTTAAAGAGAGTTTCCTTTAATATTTTTATTTTAGACAATTCCAAAACGTGATAAAAAGAACACACATAAAATTAAATTTGAAACAGAAACAACTACTCTGACTATAAAATTGTTAATAATTTCATATTTTTTACAATATAAATCACACCTTAATTGCGCAAATTTTCTCGTAAAATTGTGTTCGGATATCTAAATAAATCTCCCCCTCAAAAAAAACTTGAAACAAAAATGAATGTAACTAATGAATAAAAAATATTTTGTGCCCATACTTACATATAAACACTTTCATGTATATTTATTTACAATCTATATATATATATGTAATTATTTATTTTTATATGAATAAATTATTTAATTTATTTTTTTTTTAAATATTGTTAATAATATTCGCATCATGAATTCTAACCTTTCATGTTCACAACATCAAAAAACTATAACTTATTGATACATTTTGGAACCTGTGATTGCAAATTATTTCGTGCCCTGAGTTAAATGTTACAAGTTTATATATGTTTATTTTGATTGTGTGTATTTTTTATAATTCATATAAATAAATTATTGAAAATATTAAAAAGAAAAAATAATGGTTCATTTCATTTATTCATAACCTTCGACCAAAAAATTCTAACCTTTCAGCTTCGCAATATATTAATAACTAAATCATATTAATATAGTTGGGAATTTTACAAAGAATTTACATGACCGGCGTAAATATATTCTCTTTCAAAACCCTAGCACATTTATACACACTGTGTGATAGATATTTTTTGTTTATAGAAGCTAAGTGTGCCTGTCTGTATATATGTATTTATGTGTCGATCAAAATGTGAAAACTGTTATAAAGCATGAAGAGGCACGGTGGAGTAATGGATATCAGCTCGGATGGAGGTAACGGAGAGCCGAGTTCCAATTCCAGTCGAATCCATTATATTCACTTACGTGCTTGGGAAAGGTGTGAATCCTCTTCTTCTCTCCCCAGCTATAACTCCCGGATTCTATAGCCTTGTACGGCAACTGGTATATCGCAGAAAGAAATGGCAACCTACTGAGGGGAAAAAATCTACCTCGTCAGTCATGTATCGAAAGATACATGATCGCCTAAGCGTATATCACGCATGGCGCATAAAATGTCTGAAAACTTAAATATCAAAATTATAGATTCACCTCTTTTTTTTTTTTTTTTTTTTCACCTATTATCCTTTTTCCAACATTTTGACATATCTAAGAGAAAAAAAATCTTTGATAGATTTTCTGTTTGGGAGAGAACAAAGTAATACAAAAACTGAAAGTATGTTAGTGAATATTTATAGAATGTTTGCACTTTATTTAATTACATAAAGAACATTTACCAGTAGAGATAACTGCAGTCTGAGAGAGAAAGGGTGATCTGATCATTGTGACAGGCCGTACGGTAGCAGGCAATCTGCTACTGTGAATGAGGACCAAACATGTTAATGTTCTCAGTACAACTTATAGAGGAATCGTTATTTGAAAACCCTGTGTGAACCAGGATAGTGCTTATAGTTTGTTTCCGGCTATTTGCTACACAAAGGTCTGTGCAAAATATTTTGCCGGGATCATAACAGACTCCGTAGAGGAACAGAGTGTGATTACTCTCTAAGTGTTTCTGGAGATGTACAAAATGGACGCCTATCAGAAGACATTGTTTTTGGGGTTTTTTTCCCCAATTATGATTAGGTCAGAGTATTAGCTTACTAATAAGTAAGAAATGTAGCCAAGTAGTATCTTATACACGAGTATCTATGCTTTCATTCAGATGTGGCATGTCATGATTTGGAAGGACGGAACCTCTACTGAAGATTTTATTTTAAATTCTGGGACTTTTATGTTCAGCTTGATATGTTTTGTGACGTTTTCAAATATAACATTTTGTTGTAATTAAAGAAGGCAGACACGCCTACTTAACGACCCTCGTACATATATATTTTTTTATGAATTCATCTGAAAAGGTTGAATTTAACATACTAGGATGATCAGAAGGTTTTACCAAAGCAAATAGAAAACCGATTTACGGCCACATCACGTTGAAACATTGGTTCCCGTATCATCATCGAAGTTAAGCAATATCGAGCCTGTTTAGTACCTAGATGTGTGCCCGCTTGCGAATACCAGGTGTTGTAAGCTTGGATGTGCGGATGGTGTAATAGATAATATAGTGGAATTGTTAATCGGAGAGCCGAGTTTCAATTTCCATTTGGTTCTTTATATTCACTTATGCGCAAATATCCTTGGGAAAGTTATGAATTCATCTCGTCTCCCCCCAGCTAAGGGTTAATTAGTAAAACATATCACTAAACAATTATTATCTCAAAAATTTTTTCGCAATCTAAAGATATTTTCTGGTTTTGAATAACATGAAAAGCCGTAAAAACGAGTCAATCAATCGATATAAAAACTAATGCAGTTTAAATTTATCTAAATATTATTTATTACAAATGTAAACTTTCGAGTTCATGTTTGAAGTAATCTTTACGTATGTATGTATGTATTTTATATGGGCCCGTGGCCGAGTGATTAGACACGGGTTCGAATCTCACCATGGTCGATTTGTCAGGAAGGAGATTCCTGATGTTATCGGTCTGGAGGGTGAAAGTGCCTTGAAAACTATACCATGGGTTGACCCAAGAGTTGTGAGTGAAATTGGGTAGACGGAACTATTGTGGGCCGTCGATAGCTGTGCTAGCACGAAGAAAAAAGTCATCGTGACCGAGCGTTTTAGTGTGATGATGTTGTTCAGATTATTGATCACGCTAGATAACACGCACTCTCCCAGAAACTCTAACTAAGGTCCGCTCAGCATAGTTGCAGTATAAACCACAGGTTGGCTCTGTGGGTGTCGAACAAACGCAAATGTGCCTGAGCGAGCGTCTGCAATAGGGATTGGCTAGCTGACCTAGTAGACGGGTATCCTCGAATACGAGTAGACAGCTATTATTATTTTTATGTATGTATGCGGTACTTTTGGAAAGTACCTGAAAACCATACCTCGGGTTACCCGTGAATCTGTCGATGGATGTACTAGCAAGAACTCACAAGTCATCGTGACCGGGGGTTTGAGAATACTGGCCTTTTTAAAAAGCTTGATCCCGTCAGGTTATGTAATCTCTCCCAGCAACTATAACTAAGGTCTACTCAGCATAGTTACAGTATAAACCACAGTGGGCTCTGTGGGATGAACGGACGATCGTAATAGAAGATCGTGCTAGAAGACGTGTGTGCTCAGAAAGGAGTAGCCATCCATTATATATATGTAAGTACCTAAGGTTTTAAGTTAATTTTGAAAAAGGAAAAATCTTTCTTGAAGTTTTTATTTTAGTTTGAATTTCAAGTTGATAGATTAGATTTAATATTTCCAATAAGCAAAATACTAATATTGCATTTCAGAACTAATTTAAATTGACTGGAAGGAATTTTTGTCTTGAAATTGGTAATCATCGCTGATTTTAGTGCCATTTTAGCATTTCGTCATTGCAACGTAATTCCTTTTATTAAAAATTTGTCAAAAATAAAATATACTTTTCTGAAACTTTATTCGGAAAATCTTAGCTGATTTAAATTTTAATTAAGCTGATTTGAAACAAATATTACTTATTTTAAGTTTATAACAGCACAGAAAAGGATTTTTAACACGACAGTAGTTGTTTATTTATGGTGTTGACATGTTGACAGCTTGAATGACAGATTGAAGTTTGTCTAATGTTTTTCTACGCCGTATATATGTGTGAAGAATAATTAAGGAATATAACGTGAGCGCCTTTTTTATGTAATTTTTAAGTACGCACTAATCTTAAAAAAATAGGAAAATATTCTCCGTAATCTAATCTTTTATTGAATTTTTAGGGAGTTTGGCTATAGTTACCGCTTTTATTTTCTTATAATGTCGTGTATGGACGTACGTATTTACAAAAGTCGGCACGTTTTCGCAAACGAACAAAAATTTTACACTCTTTTTAAAATATTGGTGTTCGGTGAATTGTACTAAGTTTTTCCATTTATGATTAGTAAATACAGATTTTGCTTAATAACAATATCACTTAAACCGGCTCAAATTAATACAGATTTTTAAAAGATTTAAAACTTTCTAAATTACTCTAATAAAATTTTTAAAAAAATGAAAACAATTCTTGTAAAAAAATCATTGTTCATCGAAAAAAAATTCTCAAGACAATAGTGTTCATCATATATTTTATTCATAAAAGCCATTAGCAGCTTTTCTAATTAAATAATGTCTTAGTTTTATTGTATTTTTTTATTTTACGATTCAGAGCTGATTTTTGGTAACTGTTGTTCCAAATTTACAAAAAGAATATGATGATTTCGATTTTCCAAGGAGTTCTGCATCTAATTAATATAAACATTAAGAGAATCACAATTTAATTTCACGTAATTTCATAAAACTGTGGCGGGGGAGTAAAAAAAATGTTTTTACCAAGATTTTCTATGAAAAAACATTTCTGAAATAATTTCATTCATTTGCTTATAAGTTCTGAAAGTTTCATTAAAATCCCACAACTATTTGATTTTTGCAAGAATTTCCAAATCAGTGTTTTTTGTATTGCAAAAAAAGAGGCTAAAATTTCCTATACTAATTTTTTGCCACCGTGCTCACGCAAAAAACAAAAAAAACATGATTTTCAACCAAAATTTTGCATGTCGCAAAAAGGATAAAAATATAATTTAATAATCAAAAAATCATTTGGTCTTTCCTCTTAATAATAACATAATGATAGAACTTTGTTTTTATTAAGTTTGGCTTATTTTTTTCATCATGGTATGCTAATTTTTAGCGAAACAGTGGTGGTACCAATATGCGTATGTGAATAACGTATCTACTCTCGTATACTCTGGAATCATGGATATTCTGGTTCAGTTATTTTTATAAATAGAAATTAAAACCTATTAACCTAGCCTGAATATTTGTGTTTCCAGTATAATTATTTAATTATCTATTTTATTCTTATATTTTATATTTCATTATTTTCTCTGTTTTTATCTTCCCTGATTTAAAAATATATATATAGAAGGTTTCGTATGACGCGTTTCGACACTCAGGACTTCAATGGACTAATAAAGTGATGCTTACGTTCATTCCACTACACATGCGCACGAAAGAGAGGTGAGACGTTTAAATTTAAATTAATTTAATATATATATATATATATATATATATATATATATATATATATAAAGAACAGTAAGATATATAATCCGGTGTTCTTATAGATAAAATAGTGCTCAATGTAAATTTACAGAGCATTAATATTATAAATTAATTGATGTTTTTTTCGCTACACAGTTCTAACCATGTTTCAAAAGTGGAAGCTGAAAGCTCCGAATTTAATTTTGTAATTGAATTAAAGACATTAGTTCCATTTCATCCTCAAGCGAAAATTGGCTTGAGGATGAAATGGAACTGTGTAACGAAAGAAAACATATTTTAAATCAATTAATTTATAATATATATATATCAATTAATTTATAATATATATATATATATATATATATATATATATATATATATATATATATATATATATATATATAGTCTAGCCGATTTTATTTAGTCAATTTGTGTTTATGTTTTCATCATATTTACTATTACACATTGTAATAACGGAAGACTTGTCAAGAAAGGTGAAATGTGGTAATAACATGGACATACATTTACGCGATTAAAATACTCTATATGTTTCTCTTAGCTGAGAAAACTTATTAAAGAAAATTAGCCCTCCGGTAATGTTTTATTGAGTGTAAAGGCCAGTAGACGAAATAAATACTGCTTACACACACACACACACACACACATATATATATATATATATATATATATATATATATATATCACATTGAATAAATTACAGACATTATGTCAGCTAATTTTTAATAAAATCCGTTAGAGGTGGTATTCTTTTCTAGTGTATTGTGTATCTCTTGCTTGCGTTTGTTGAGTGTTATAAAGTTAACATTATTTACTTTAATCTGCCTTTTCACAAGGCCACGTTTATATTGTCAGGTGATATTATTCCGGTGGGCTGCTGGATTATATAATTTAAAATTTGTGTATTTAAATTTTTAATATTGATCTTATTTTTTCAGGTTTGCAAACTTGACTTCATCGCTGAAATTCACATACTTGTTTTTATTGTTCAGGTTTACATTCTTAGTTTTATAATTCCAGCGTTCATACTTGTTTTATACAGACAAAAGTATGCAGGTGTAGGCTTTAAGAAAACTTTGTTCAGCTGAGAATACAGGGTTTGCGTATAGTGTCCTTCTATAATCCCAGTAAAGAGAAATAGCTTTCTCGAAGAGGAGAGTAACAAAACAAAAGAAGACCACTCTTGATTATTCATAACAATACACTCCTCCCAATATTAGTCAACAATACAGTATTAATTCTTCTCAATAATAATAAACTACTACTTTTCTACAAGATCGATATTCATTCTTTTGATAACGAGTCACATCAAGTACCATTCAATAAACCTCTTATACAAATCTTACAACTCCCACAAGAAACACCAATTATTCTTCCTACGTATCAAACACTTCCACACAACAAAGCATTGATATAGTATTCACTAGTCTAAACAATCTACTGTAAAACAAAGTATTGTTATAACAAAGTATCATTATAACTTCCACTATTCTCAACAATAGATTGATTCATTCACCGCCCAAACAAATCGCTACATGATCTTTTCCCCCGCTTAATATTAAATACTTATTCATCTAAAGTAGATTAGTGACAACAAAAAAAAAAAAAAAAAAAAAAAAAAAAAATGGAATATATTTACTGACTACAGTCAATATATATATTATCTTTCTTTCTGGAATATATTTACTGACTACAGCTAATCTATATAATATTATCTTTCTTCAGCATTACTCAAAAAGATTCTTAAACACATTAGATAAAAGTATATCCGATTCTGCCAAACTATTCCCAATTTAATTCCCATTCAAAATCCGATAAAATATACCTGTAATGAAAAAATACGCAGGTGTAGGCTTTCGGATAAGCTTTATTCAACTGAGAATACAAGGTTCGCGTATGGCACTGGATTAATTTCAAAATTGTATTATATATTAGTCTAGGGCTCCATGAGTAAAAATGAAAAA